AGACTCCCGAATCTGTTAAAATTTCCTAAAATTACTGGTCTTTCAGGCCCATAAGAAATCAAGGAGAGGAAGGGGATAAGTGTTTATTGGATACCCGATATGTACTCAGCTGCCTAGCACCAGCTCTCCAAGCATTGCTCATTTAGTCCTTTTAGCAGCTCTTTGAAGTCGGTTAGAAGTGTTATTCATATCTTATTTGGCATTTATAGGGGTTAAGAAACTTGCCCAAGGTAAACAGTAAACAGTAAATGCACTCTTCTCACCTCACTCTGCTGCTCAAGAAATTCAGTTTACCAAACATGCTTCCTGTTGCTGTGAGGCATGTGCCATCCAGAGCAGGACATTTTGCCTTGTGAGGTAGGCATTTTGGTCAAACCCTTTGCAGGCCACTGCTTGGTAATCAAGTTCATCAAAATGGCATCATGAACAGGTGTGCCTGGGCGAGTGCTGGGGAGCTGTCTCAGTTCACACTGGAGGCTGATCTTTGAGAACGAGAGATGGAGAAGATCCCATTCTTGGGCAAGGGGAAATTGGTGGTGTGAAAAAGACAACTGCAAAGACACCATCAGAATATTATAAAAATCTATGAAGGATAAACAGTGGCAGCTAACCCTGTTGACTATAACAGAAGATAAGGCCATGCCTGCAGGACTCTGAGCTCACAGACACTGGAGGAAGTTCACATGCCCACATAAAATGTCACTAGGATAGAATAAAAGAAAAGGCCAGATATCTTTGATGGGGGAGAATTCAGTATGAATGAGGGTGACAGACTTTAAAACTCTCTCTTCTTCCTGCTCCCAACTTCCCAGCCTTATTTCAGGTACCCACCCCAAAGTCCCCTCACCCTGAGTGCATCCTCCACGGCACCTGCCCTTCCTCTGCCACCAATTTCAGTGCTGCCATGCGCTATGCTTTGCAATGGCAGGAAGACAAACTTGGAGCAGCGCGGCCTCAGCTCAGATCGTGACACTGAACCTCACAAGGAAGGAGGGATTAAACACATCAGTTACCCCTGCGGATTTCAGTCTCCTCACCTGAGAAAAGAGGAGCTTTCTAAGAGAACGAAATGAGATCACATAAGACAGTCAGCCAGCACACCTGCTCAGTGAATGAGATCAGCTCCTGCACTTACAGGGGTGATTGCTGTTTCCTTTTGATTCTGAGTTCCATGAAAGTTTAAGTGCTGAGCTGTCTGAGGGAGATGAAGAGAGCTAATAAGATGGCAAGACCTCTCCATGCCCTTCCCTCCTCTCATAATTTCTGGGTCCAAGAAATCCAGGGCTCCATGACCCACAGTAGCTCTGAAGAAGCAGGCCCAGGATCAGGCTTGCAGGTACCCACCAGTATGACGGTGGCAAAGAGACAAGGATCCATGGGCATGGAATCTAGAGAAAAGAGATAGGAATGGAAGCAGACGTAATCATGCACAGCTCAGCAACAGCCTGGGGCCAGCTCCACCATGCAATTCCATGTGCTCCTCAGCCCCACTGTCAAGCTAAGGCCAAGGCACATCCACAAAGAAAGGGAAGATTGCCTTATCACCCACCTGGCTTTAACCCAAATCTCTAGGGCACTAATCCAGGAAAGAGCCCTGAGGAGCCTCAGGACATTTAAGACTACACTAAGTCTGCCCTGTGGATGGAGTGGAGGAGGTAGGAAAGGAAAGAAGTCGTGAAGATGGTTGCTGTTATAAGACACTAGGGTAGGGGAAAGTGCTGGATCAGAATTCAAAAAATCGGTTAAATTACCAGCCCTCCCACTTACAGGCTGGCTTAAGTCTTTTATGCTTCAATCTTTCCATCTATAATATGGGATGACTAAGCTGCATTTCTACAGTTCCTTCTTCTTCGAAAATTCTGTGAGTCTTAGGAAAAAAGAATGATGAGATTTAGAAAATGAAAGAATAAACCAGTTTATAAATAGTTATGTGGGCCCCACAGGGTTCCCTATGCTGTATTAGAGTATATATATTAAAAGAGAGAAATTGTCTTCATCTTCAATTTCTATTTCTGACCTGATATCAAAGGCTGATTGAATAGTCTACTGCAATGGACAGCAATAGAATGAAGCCTGGGCTGGGAATCAGAAGACTTAATTCAGAAACCTGAATCCCTTTCCTCCAGCTGTGCATCTTCTGGCAAGTCATCTAACCTCTCTGAGCATCATCATCCCATACAGCCTACTCCTCAGAGTTTTGGTAGTTATAAACTGCAATCACGTAATCTGTAAAGCCCTATACAAATGCAAGATTTGACTGCCATCAGTATCATTCTTTTTGTTGTGGCTTGCTCACCAAAGCACCCTACAATGTTTCTACCAAGCCTGGATTATAAAATGTCCTTTATATCATTCCATTTTAATTGAGCATAACTTAGTGGTCAAAGCTCAGTCTACCTCAGCCTTGGAAGATTTCCCGAGTTCCAGAGATGCCAGTCTAAATGTGGCAGATAAACGAGGCATAATTATGGGGATAGAGAGTAGCAGCCACTACACAGGCACTAGGAGGCTGTTGAGATAGCAGAGAAATCAGCAGAACTTCCAGGTGATTGGGCTGTGTTTAGAGGTGTTCTGTGGTTCAGGTCTCTCAGGAGGTCCTGTGGTCCCAGCAAGATTTAGACAAAGGAATCACAGTGGTTTGGTCAACGGGCATTAGGATATTCTTGCAAAGGTGGTAGAGTCACCACATAGTACAATAAAAAAAAACTCTGCCCTATCTTATCCTATCCACAGCCAAGATGCCAAGATGGAGGTCAGAAGCTGAAGAAGTCTTCAGGGAGTGTTGAGGTCAGTAGCCTTGTAGTACTGAACTTAAGAGGCTGTGGATGTCACCTTGATGCTGCCCAAGGTCTTTTGCTAGGGTACCCAAGGCAGACCTGCTCTCCTTGATAATGGGGCCCCGTGAGCTAATCTTGACCCTTAACACTGGGGCTGAGTGGTGGGCCTGCCCAGTCAAGCAGCCGGGTAGCTCATAACTGTGGTCGTGGTACAGGCTAGCTCACCCAGGTCAAAGGCATGATCCAAAACCAAAACCAAGTCTACTACACAGACAGTAAATCCATAAGCCAGGCATCCAGTGAAGACAGGTTCCTAAAGCCAAGAGGGAAATTCAACAACTAGCCAAGTAAAATGCACAAGCCAAATTCAAGAGCTGAGAAGATAAATGCAGGAGCTGAGTTGCCAAACCAATACTGTGTTCAAAGCCAGCTGAGGCCAACAGCTGGTTGAAGAGTTTAGATCATCATGGGCAGTGAAACTCTGGCAGAAAGAGCAGCCAAGAGCACAGGAGGAGTTGCTTTGAAGATGCCACATGCTTAGCTGCCCCAAGCTTGCTTTCATTCAGTCTTTACATTCGTGAATGAAGACAATGCTGGAGTAAAGAAACCAGCAAGGAATGTTGCTACACAACCAGCTCCATTTTCTTCTCTTCTTCCATCACCAAAACCTACTGTTGCTAGACTGGAAGGAAGTGCATAGAAGGGTTGCCAGAGGGGATGGATATGATTTTAGCTGTCACTTCTGTCTATTTCTCTAAAATCTTTTCTCCCAGATTTATATTATTTTTCACAATGGGTAAAATATATAATGTACTTTAAAGACATAAAAAGGGGAAGATTTAGCATTAAAGTCTCTTTCCATTGCTAGGTAGACTATGGTAGATACCTCTATAAAGTGCTATGGGCAGTACTGATGTGCCTAATTCCAGTGTCACATCTTTTTTGACAAAAGGACACAGTGACTTGTTTCCCAATAATGGTGATTTGTGCTACTGTAGGAGGCTGACAGGACTGCTACTCTTAAGTAAGCAGGACTTTCGGTTCCCTTCAACTTGTACCCCAAGGGCAGGCTCCTCATTGGCTACATATACTCCTTCTTTCTGATGCTTCAGGCTGTGGAGTAAGGGAAAAGAAGAGAAATCAAAGACACGGTATCAATCCATGCACAACCTAAGCAGGCCCCCATGGGAGGAGAGAGTGTGCCTCTTCCTAACCAACCAAAGTGTAGCTTGAGAATGAGTGGAGAAGCGGCTGAAGAGCCATTCCTTCGTTCAGCAACTTCAGTGAACTCTACACGTACGATCAGTTCTGCTGTAACACTTGTTTTGAACACTCAAATTTGTTCCAATGTGATTGATATAATCGGGAACAATTTGAGCATAACACAAATTTCACATTTGCTTATGTGGTAGTTTGTATATGAGTAACACTAGGTGAATGCAGAAAACTGTGCCTCGCTGAACCAAGCATAGGAATGCATAAACACATGCACGCCTCCAACATCTGCTCGCTTCCTCAGTTCACTATGTGTGTTCTGAGCCTCACCCAAGCACAGCTGGTGTTTCAACCTTGCATCCTGTTTCAGATCTCACTCCTTCCACGACTTCCCACAAACTCACAGGCTCCAGCTTTTCCAAAGCCCAATTCCAGAAGCAAACCTCAGTTCTTTTTCAAAGTAAAGTGTCATATTTATTGTAGTATTTATATACACCTTTAACATTTAACTGTGCATAAAACTGTGCTACCATTTTTATTTGGTTCTTATCTTTCTTTCATGTATCACTGATGAAGTTTTCAAGTGTTATATCCCTAGCGCCATTTTTCCACAGAAGCCCTGTGGTTTTTCATGCATGATTTTGCACAGCACGGCAATTTTTAGGAACACATATGTCACATTATAGAACTGACTGTACAAGGCTTTGCTCTGGGCATGACGGAGAAAACAGATATAACCCAGGTAGTTCGTCCATTCAGGAACTCCTTCCCAGCATTACTTCAGAAATTTATGCTTTTCCGAATCTCAAATCCCAAGAAAAATCAATTGAGAAATTGAGAAAATGGGAGAAAGTATTATAATTCTCCTGTGAGAATTAAAACTTAACAGTTAACTTGGAGACATTGTTGGCCCCAAGGAATCCACTGACACATGGAATCAAAAGTCAAGATTGGCATTTCAAGGAACTGGAAGAGGAGTCCATGGGAGGGAAATGGTCAAGATCTAACCTGTTGGTCTTGCTTGTAGCTATTGATCATGTTGTCAGCGCGTGCTTGTGTCCCTGTCGAGATACCTGCATGAAAATAAATATTAATAAGTTTATAATAGCAGTATAGTTTACATAAATCCTATGAGTGGTGTTTAAAGAAATAACAAGTTTTGGAAGAAAAATAAGTCCTTAATTGGCAATTCACTCTCTACCTTGCTAGGAGACACAAATATTGTTATTTGAACACTACATGTGGTGAATGCCACATGTTAATTATGTTACTGGTGTTTTCAAGTTTTTGAATATTCATTATAGGCTATATTTTTTGGCAAATGCTACTAAAATATTTCTTACTTTTAAAACTCTCTGTTAGATATCCTTAATAATAAGTAAGTACTACAAAAACTATTAGATATATTTTAAGACTAACCTACAATTTCAGGCATACCTTAAAATGCCTATGAATTCTGATTTCTTACTCCAAAATTCTGAAGATTAATGTCTGTCTGGAATTTAGAAATGCTAAGCCCAGACATGGCCCCTGGCAAAAATAAAGCTTGGGTTCTTTGAAGCCTGAATGACATGCTCCTCAGAGGTACATTATAGCCTTGAAATCTGGAGTCCAATGTCCCCAAAACGATATGCCGTATCCCACAACAGTTCTCATGGTTTTCTTAGCCAGTTATCCTAGATAACTGGAGTTAGAATTCAGGACCAAATATGTTGTGTGCATGCATGTGTAGGCGCAGAGGGTAGTCGGGAAAGCTCTGTGCCTTCTGCTTAATTTTGCCATGAACGTAAAACTACTCAAAATAATAAAGTCTATTTAAAAAAGAACTTCAGGCTTGAGATTTAACACACCCATATAATAAGCAAAAATACACAAAAAGAAGAGGCCAGAATTATAAAAATTTCCTTGGTCTTTTAAAAAAAGCAGCCTCCCTTGGCCCATCAAGACAGTCCCAGTCCAAATGATGGATGGAGGTTTCCATCTCTCACTCACAAACACGCATCCAGCTCTTTGTCTGTGCCCCTTAATTTCAGAGGAAGCAGGCATTCCTCAGCAAGGCCCTTTAGAGGGTCACAAAGGCTCAGCTGCCATAAATCAAGCATTGGTGGCATTAGTGGAGTGGAGGAATAGTGCCGTGGGTAACTTTTCCCGACCTTGCTGAGAGAGAGTCAAGCCTAGGGTTTAATGAAATGAAATCTCTTAGTGGTGAACATGAGTAAGGCTGCCAGAGCAGTTCTCTCTTGAAGTGACTTTTAACTGGCCTGTGAAAAGATTTAAGCCCCATTCCCAAATCCAGAGGCAGAAGCAGCCTTCATCCCCAACTTGGAGGGGTAGCCAAGAGAAAGCTGTTTTCTAAGCCCAGAGCTCTGTGCAAAGCTGACTAAAGCTGAGACATCTTGAAGGCATTGAAAGAAAATGAAGGAAACAAATGAACAGTGAATCCAAAAACCAAACTCACTTTTGTCTCCTGGGCAGTATTTTCCCTTCACAGGGAAAGTGAAAACCCATTGTCGGTGAGGCTCTTACAAGGGAGTGGCATGCTCTGTCTTCAGTACTCTGGATTCAAAATTGACTCCCCTCAAACCTGCAGATGACTTAAGTTTTGAGTGGATAGAAAGATATTGTAGCTATTCATACAGTGCAATTATCTGGAGATTTTTCAAAATCCTCTAACAGATTCAATAAGCCCATTGAGTTGAATTTGAATTTCAAAACTCTTATCAAAGATGTTCGTTTATTTGCTTTTGTTTTTAACCAACAGACAGTCTTGGCCCTGGGTTATTAAGGATGAACGAGGTACAAAGGCAGAGGCAGCTTCTATAACAGGGATTTTACTTTTTCTCCCTTTTTCCTGGCTATCTGGAAAACAGTAAAAGAATGAGGATGACAAAGGACCTGTCTAAAGTCTTTGACACTACCATTGGGGAAGAAAGGAGTCCCCATCCTCTCAGCACCCAATCCTTTTAAAGTTTACTGGACAGGTCCTAATAGTTTTACTGGGCTTGTAAAAGAAAGATTCCTGATGTTGAAATAGTTCACCTTGGGAAGACTTGCTCCAAATTTTTACCCCCTTTTTTGGGTATGTTCCTGACCTATGAACCCTACACAAATGGTTCCAAATGCTGAACTCTGTGTGTGGGTAGGGGATCCTATCTGCCCTTAATTTTTGATACAGAGTCTCTGCCCTGACTAATGATTCTTAGCGACTTTTACAGACAATTTTCCTTGGGCACTCTCTCAACTCTTAACTTACACTTAACTTACTTGTCGTCATATATATGCGTAGAAGTTTATGATAACCTTGAAGAAGTCATCAGCTCTTCATAGAATTTCTCCTAAAATTTTCTTGTACCAAAGTGTTATGGACAATGTTGATTTTACTAAAGACTTCCAAAGAGATATGGAGAAGGAATATTGCATCACTAGTCATACTCTCTGCCCCACACAAAAATAAAATCCCCATTGGACAAATTATTCTTCTCTCCTTCTTTCTCAAGTCTCTCTCTTCCTCTACTGACTTTGCCTGACTCCTCTTCCCTCTCCTACCTGTATTTTAAAAGTTCCTTCGTTTTTCCGTGTGTGGGGCACTTGCGTACCACCAGAACTTGCTTCTACCCCAGGGCATGGTTAGCATTACTACTTTTCAACATTGTTCATCTTTCCCTAGAAAGGAATTTTCATACTACTGATAAAAGATAAAAATTTCTTCATGTTACCTCTGATTTATTTTCCTTCCCAACTGGTAATACTTGCTATAGAAAAAGAAAAAAATGAAAACCCCAGTCAGCAATTTGAGGCACTGATCTGTGTCTGGAAATTCTCTACTCATGGACCTTACCATGATTTCCCAAATCATAAAATTGTGAACTATTGCAAGAGAAAATACGCCTAGACCAAAGGAAAGGATGACACATCTGATATCTACTGTAATAAAAAATAATATTCAACAATAAAAAACCCAACCTTGTGATTTATGAAATGGAGGCTTCACTAACACTTTTTACCTCTAAAGCTTAGTACTTGACTGTACATTTTGCTTTAGGATTTGGACTTACTTCACAAAAATTGGGTATGGCTGCTAAACCTTTTGAAAAGTTTTTGTTTGTTTATTTTTTCTCATGAATTAAGCCTATGGGACTGGATAGAGTGAAATGGATTGTTTGATTGGCCAGCAATATTATTTTGATTTTCTTTTGTGGAGTTCACCTTGTCTCCCACTTTCTGCCTTTGTTGTATTGAGAAATGTAAGCCCTGCTTGGTCTGAGACAATTTGCGTAGCCCAGCCCCTTGGCCACAGGGATTGGTTCAGAGATTAGCACATAACCTGATCAGAGCCAATGAGACCTGTGCTGGGCCTTCTGGGGAAAAGAGACGCTCTCTTCCTCTGGCCTTGGTGGAATGTGAGTGTCTGCACCTTGATACCATAAGGGAAGTCAGGTTGTGCATGAGGGCAACAGCTGGAGGATGCAAAGCCACATGTTTGAAACCTGCATGGAGCTATTCTTAAAGCCAGCCCACCCCAGATTTTTCACTTACACCAAGAAATTCATGTTTTTCCTTAAACGACTTTGAGTTTCTCTTGCTTACAACATAAAGAGTCCTAATGGATACAATGTAGGTCTGTAGCATCTAAGAAGAGAATTTATTCAGCACTCATTTTCTCACTCATTTATTTTTAAGCATTTACAGAGTGTCTATTAAGTACCAGGCGTTAAGAATAGAAAAATGAATATTATCCAGACCTTGACTCTCAAGGAGGACAAGAGAGAGGTGTGAACATATATGATACAATGTAATATTGGTAATAGTGGAAAGTGCAGTGAGAATGAATGAAGAGAACGAAGAGATGAATTCAGCCAAAGAGGGTTGGTAAAGAAGTTTAACAGGCAAGGAAGGGACATTCTAGGAGGAACAAACCACATGTACAAAGGCCCATTGCCCTGAAGCAGCGTAGATTTTCTGAGCAATCACCAAGAGTCACTTGTGACTTGCATATGGGTTACCAGGCTAAGCACAGAGAGATGTGGCTGGAAAGGAAGGTTGGAATCCAATTGTGAAGGGTTTTGTACATCTGGTCATCAGGGGATGTCATGGTCAGGCCTGAACTTTAGATAGATTCAGACAACATCCACAGGTGGCCACATAAGTGGGTCTCCTTTGTCTAATTCTCCTAAGCTGCCTGACTCCTGGAGCTCCTCACTCGAGCCAGAGTTGCCCTTGTAAGTGGGCCTCTCCTGCCTCCCTCACTCTGGTGCCAAGAGGGATTATAAGGCTGACGCTGGCAGTCTCCTGTGCTATTGTGCACTTCAGATAGTCATCTGTGCGCTGGAAAATGGCTTGAAATTCTCCATGGAGAGTGCAAACAGAAAGGTCAACAATTATGCAAAATGAATGATGGGCTTGGAGCAATCGGGCCACGCAGCTGCTGCAACGAATTTTCTGAAACCCGCCTGCCAGGTGTCCACGTCTCTGCCCAGTGGCCCGGGCCAGGCATCTACAGCCAAACCTTAGCTAACTAGTATTCCTAGATAGCTAAAGGAGACACCAAACGGGAGCAGAGTCACCACAAAGGCCACAGCTCTGAGCACGGAGAAAGGTCTTCTTGAGACTTCCTCTGAAGCTCAGTGAATGATCTGTTCTCAGCGGTAAGGGATTAAACAAAGGGCCAATTGTCAAAAACCCCAGCCAGGGACCAGCCAAGCTTCCTGTGCAGCCATGAGTGCCTGAGGCGGCCTTTTGTTCTGAGAGGACACCACATAGCCTCCGCCTCCCCTGGAGTCAGAAAACCAGTCAAGCAGGAAAGCACTGTTGAGAACCTACTCTGTGGAAGGTGCTGGGGGAACACAGAGAGGAAGGCCACCCAGAGCCCAGAAAACAGAGGCAACCGGCCAGTGTTTGCCAAATGAAGGCTGACGGAGCTGAATGCTTTGGTGAGAGAGGAAGGAGATTACGCATGTGCAAAACATGGCATCCGCTTTAATAAACAGCGATTCCACAAGGTAGGTGGCACCCCGACTGACAAGGAAACTGAGGACCAGCAAAGAAACAATCCAAGGTGTGAAGAGAAGGGACTGGAACCGGGACGAGCCCGATTCCAACACTGCACCTCTTTCCACTCAGCCGCGGAGAGAGTACAAGCACAAAGGTAAACCTCAGCTCTCAAAGCAGGATTTCTGGAGTTCCACCAAAGCTCGGTACAAGAAAGGGCACATCTTTCTATGTCAACTTTACTTGAAAACTGGCGAGCTAGGGGGAATTTGTTTTTTCATCAAAAGAAACAGTTTTCTATGGCTTATGATGTAAATTTCAAATGCATTTTTACAAGAAAAAGTGGGTCTTCTGGTTATATCATAAGGATTCTGAAGTCCTGCCCTCAGGGATGCTGTGATGGCAATTTTTGAGAGGGGTCCACATAAAGAACTAGAGGGAGAAAGACCTAGAAATGTAGGCAGCCCTTTCTACACAGCTACTCTCTCCGGGTTCCAGCAGTTTTTCTTTTTGCCCTTCAGTCCCAGAAGTAGTAATGGCTTCCCACTGCTCCTACCCCTGGGTGCTGCCTCATCTCCTGTTGGTTTCCCTAAACCCTGTCCACACTGCAAACAGGCTCTGTCAGGGCTGACTTCATAGAAGTGTGACCTGTGCGGTCACATAGCACCCCATGCCTGGAAAGGTTCCACACTCGGTTAAAATTCTTAACAATTTTTTAACAAGGGCCTCACATTTTCATTTTGCACTGGGCCCCATAAACTATGTAGATGCTTCTGGCCCCTTTTTAAACTCTCTTTGAGTGTGCCATCTGTTTCCTGCCATGAACCTAACCCATATACCCTTCTGTGCAGAGAGAAGGATGCCCCCAGAAAACTGACGTCCTCAGGAGGAGGCAATGCTTTTCCCTAAGAGGAAGGAGCCCTGAGGGAGGAGATGCAGACGTTCTTAGTGGGTCAATGCCCTCCTGAGGTGGGGACCAATCCAGACCACGGAAGGCAGCAAGCTGAGGCCTGGGCCCGGGACTCAGGAGATGGAGATTTGAGTCCTGGCACCACAGCGTACTAGTTCTGTGACCCTCAGAAGTCACTCACCCTTTCTGAGCCGTGGCTTCCTCATCTGGATAACATGCTGCTTAACTCGAAGAAGAGTTGTCAGCTAAAAAAGATTGACATTAATTTTGTTAATTTGTGTTAACCTTTGGTATATGACAGAATGGGCAATAAATATTTGTTAAATAAAGATGAGTTTTATTTCTGGAAAGCCATCCTGTATTTAGACTCAGAACAGACCGTGGACTTGGGAAGATATGGAATAAAGGCAATAATTCATCCACCAATCCTTCTGTCTGAGTGATTCCTGGAAATCAGTAGTGCTCTGTGCTGTGGACGAGAGTCAGAGGGTGAAGCCTGCAAGGGCTGCAGCAGGTGCTCCAGATTCCGAAGCCCACGTCTCTGAGCAAGCCCCAGGCTAGCGGGATAATTAGGAGGAAAACACAGAGGGATAATGGCCAAAGAGTAAGACCCTCCTTCCCTATTCCCCCCTTTGGTAAGAAACTAGTACCATGACCAAATTCTCAGCTGTACCTGGATCATCACTAGAGAACGAATCATTCATTGTAGTCCATTTCTGCACTGATCCAGCTCACTCTGCACCTTGGCATCGGAGCACTTTGGACCTCTATGAATCACCAGGTTTTGCTTCCCAAGCACTTAATAATAATAGCCACTTACTGGCCACTTACTGTGTGCAACCACTGTGCTAGGGGCTTTCTAGGGTATTGCCTAGACCAGGGTCTGCACACTTTTTTAAAAAAAACGGTTGATAGTAAATAGTTTAGGATTGTGGGCCAGATGGTCTCTCACCTAACTATTCAACTGTCATTGTAGCACAAAAGCAACCATAGACAATACACAAATGAAGGAGCCTGTCTGTGTTCTGACAAAACCTTATGGAGAAAAACAGATGGCAACTGTAGTTTGCCAACCCCAGTCTAGGGCAGTGGTCCTCACACTTGAGTCTATGTCTGAATCCCCTGGAGGGCTTGGTAAAGCACCCGCAGAGTTTCTGGGCCCCACTCCCAGAGTTTCTGATTCTGGAGGTCTGGGGTAGGGCAGAGAATTTGCGTTCCTAACAACTTCCCAGGCAATGCTGATGCTGCTGGTCCAGGGACCGCATTCTAAGAACCACTGGTCTAGACAGTACAGCAGACATTTCAGGGCACAGCTCTAAAGCCCAGGAGCCTATGCGAATCCTGCCTCTCCCACCCACTACATGCATAACCTTGGGTAGCTTGGGTTTCTTTATGTTTCCAGGCCTCCTCTGTAGAATTAGGGCACTAACAGCATCAATTTCCCAGGGTTGTCCTGAGATAAATGAGTTAATGTGAAGTGCTTAGCACAGTGCCTAGCACATGGTCAGCCCTCAAAAAATATTAGCCAATATTACCTCATTTAATTCTCCCGACAACCTGGGAGGTAGATCTGCAGCCATTTTATAAAGGAAACAGCTAGGGCTCAAGGGTTTAAATGCATTGCCCACAGCACAGAGCTGGTAAGCGTTAAGTTGGAATCAAACCCAGAGCCCCAGGACTGAGAGGTGCCCTTGGCCGCCTGCACTGTTCTCCTTCCCCAGCACCTGGAGCAAACACATTGCACCTCGGGAGGCTCACGGGAATATAAGCCCTTGGGAGGTGGGACCTTATTTGCCTGAGTCCCTGCTGTATCTCCAGGTCCTCACCTGGATATTTCTAGATATCATCTGGGGCTCCTCTTCCGTTACTCTTTGTCTCAGTGACTGGACCTACATGGAACTCCAGTGGGAAGCCTGTTCTTCTGACTGACACTCCCTGCAGTGCTCCCTCAGTCCACACTGGTGTCAAAGAACAGGGAGCCCTCTGCCTCCAACCAGCCCCAGTCACTCATTTCTGAGAGAAGTCTCTGACCTGCATGTGACCACCCTGAGCTAGGTCGGGAGGTCATATGACAAAGTTACTGGCAAAGGGCTAGATGTTTTACATACATTATCCTATGCAATCTTCAATATAATTCCATACGGCAAGTGCCATTATTATCCCCATTTAACCAAGGAAGAAACTGGGGCGTAACGGAAGTTGACCTAAGCCATGCAGATAGTGAGGATACCAAGGCGGAAACAGATCCAAAAGCTTCCAGAGTTTTCATTCTCTCCACTTACATGATCTTGCCGCCTTAAAAGGTAGGAGAAGTAAAAGAAGATGTAGGAAAGGGAGCACTGGAAGTTAGTCCTTAGAGCAAAGGACTTGAAATGCCCAAAATGGAATTCTAGCTCTTTGGCAGTTTTGGTCAGTTTCTCTGAAAAATATGAATAAACCTAAGTGACTCCACACCATTCAGGTAAAGATGCATTTGCAAATGTACTCTCACCAATTTGAAACAGGAAAAAGCTATGCGAGTCTTGCTGTCTCATGTGGGTGGCTTTTATGAGAACAGGGAGGGAGACTTTTATGAGAAGAAAGACAGAGCTGGAGTGGCTTCGACCCCTTATCCTTAAAAATGAAAAGGAAGAATAATCAAATGTACGCTGAAAATATAACAGCAAACAAGCTCCGAGGTGACATTTGGGTTGTGTGGTTTTCTTCTGGCTGTGTGACAATGAGTGCCTGTTCAGTTGGCTTTTTCCAAAGCCAGAGAAAGGTCTCTTAGCTAAAATGTCACAATGCACCTTATTTTCCTTTTTCAGCATGTATTCCAAGGGGAGACTGACAGTCCGTCCTGCCCTCACGCTCCACTTTGAAAATAACAACAGCAAAGCATAAGAAAAGGTAGGAAGGAAGGTGACAGTTTGCAGCTGGCTCGAGCTCTCTGACTTTTGTTTTGCAGAGGGTGCAGACTTTGGGTGGGGAAGAGGTGGACGAGACCAGAGGATGGTTGTGACACCATCTCCAAATGTGCACCCCTGAGAAATCACAACAAAGACATTTGACCTATTTTGCACAACCATGTGATGCTGTGGGAAGCGATTGTTGAAATTACATTTAGAAATCAGAAGATTTTTCTGGCCAATTTAGTGATTATTACTGAAGAATAGGCATAATTTGGTGACCCGGAGGTTTGAGCCCTGCCTCAATGGAAGGCATGACCCTCCTCCTTTCTAAAACTAATCTACCCATTTGAAGTTTCAAGACCACATATAATCTGGCCCCTGCCTACATCTCCAGCCTTATTTCTCACTATTCATTCCCTGTTCTCTCTGTGCTCTGCTGTTAATTTTGTGGTTTCATTATCACCAACAGAGGATCTACACCCAGGCGGTTCTTTCTTCCTAGAACATCCTTTCAACACCCTACACCCACCTTCCAACAACTTCATCTCCTTAACTCCTACGCATCTATAACCCTTGTGAATCTGGGCCATGTTATCCAATCTCAGAGTGTATTTGTGGTCAGAGAAACATAGTTCAGAACCAAAATGTTTTTTCAAAATTTCTGAAGTTCTTCATCTGCACAACAACCTGTAATACTCTTATCTTGTTCCAAAAGAATTATTAGAATGGCCAACCAACTGGTCAACCCATGTGCCAACTTCCCCTGTTTTATTCCACACTCCATGCGGCCACTGAGTGATCTTTCTAAACACAAGTCTCCTCTTCTCTCTATCTCCACTTTGAGTCTTATCGCCCAAGTGCACTAAACAAATGACAATCCTCGAGCATGCCGTCTATTCCCATACACCTATGCTTTTGCTTTTGTCATGTTCTTGAACTAGATTCCATCTTCCTTTCTTAGCCTGTCCAAACCCTAATCATCTTTCAAGATCCAGTTCAAGTGCCTCCCCCTTTATAGGTATTTCAGCCTCAGACTGTCACTTTCTTCTCTGTTTCTGCTGTCCTCTCTGACAGGGCTTGCATTACTGTGATTTGTTTGTATGTTTCCCTCTTCCAGTAGAGAAAGAATTCCTTGAAGTCAAAGGTTTCTTCTTACTTATCTTTGGGCCCATAGCAAAGTGATTTGTATAGTCATGCTTATTATATATTCACTGAATTTAAATTCATATAATGTTTTAGTATTTACATTGTATTCTCATATATATTTACTTATTAGCCATCCCAAAAGATTTATGAGGTATGTAATATTATCCTAATTTTAAGATGAGAAAATCGAGGCTCACAAAGCTCAGTGATTGGTCCGAGGTTGCACAGCTGACCGGTGGCTGATCTAGACTTACAGCCAGGTCTCTACTTCCCCATGCAGTTCTGAACTTCTATGATTCTGTATTGAAAATTGTATGCTAGAAAGGAGAGGAGAATGATTATTTCGTTATAATTCTGCAGAGAAAAAAGCCTGGCAAATGCTCTTCTCTTATTTGCAAGGCTGTATTATGCCCCATTGGAAACGAACATTATACACATCAGCTTCAGCAACATAACAGCCGCTTCTTTTATTACCATTGTTTAAACATTTGGGTAGTAAGCAGGTACACCTCATCCAACATATGTTCTCCGTCAAGCATATATCCTCTATGCAAATTGTATAGGGTTATCTTTATTAGGTGTTATTATTCTACAGGCAGAGGGGACCAATGTGCAGAAAATAATGAACAATCCTGGACTGTAGAAAAACAGCTTAATTATGTAGGTAAAAAGAACCCTTAACCAGATAACCATAAAGACTTAGTAGCATTCAAAACTCACTTTACAAAAATAGGGAGGAAACTGGCATAGGGGTTGCATATATTACCTCTTGGTATACTAAAATAAGACCTGACTATTATAAAACTATCTTATACAAAGTCCCCAAACCAGCAGAGATCTTTTCCTGTGGCTCAACAGTGCCAAAATCAGCACAATAAAGGACATGTTTTTTTATAAGCTGCAGGTTTTCATTTGAAACTCATCTCTGTCACTTACCATCTGGGTGACCCAGGACAAATTACTTCATCTTTCTGAGTCTCGTCATTGTCATCTGTGAAATGGGCTTAATAATTTTGAGCTCATCTGAATGTTTGTTATTGAGAAAATTAACTGACAAAACTTACACGACAAGAAAACGTGGACTATAGTACACACTCATTCAATTCATATGTATTATTCTCACACTGGTTGCACAGGGATATATGCCTTTCCTAAACATGGGTTTCCAGGGGGAGCTGTGGGGAAATTAGAGGAAATTTGAGAGGATA